CACAAGTACATTATGATGTAGGTACAGAAAATACATAAAAAAATATAACTCAAAATATACAGTGCCATTTGTGGTTTCTATGAATTTTTTAAATGTAACCCCCTATTGCACCCCCTCAGACGGCTCTACAAACTCCAGCATGATATCAGGGATGAAGAAAAGAGCAAACTTCATAACAAATCCCCAGTAGAAGGGTGTACAAAGCCATTTGTGACTTTTATGATTTTTTTTAATTTCACCCCAATTGCACTCCCTCAGACGATTCGACAAACTCCAGCAGGGTAACAGGGATAAAAAAATAGCAAACTACATAACATATCCCAAGCAGAAAGTTGTATAAGGCAATTTGTGACTTCTACGATTTTTTTAATTTTACCCTCAATTGCACACCCTCAGATGAATAGACAAACTCCAGCATGGTATCAGCCATGAAGAAAAAAGTAAAGTACATAACATATCGCAAGCAGAAAGGTGTACAAAGTCATTTGTTGCCTCTATGATTTTTTTAAATTTCATCCCTAATTGCATCCCCTTAGACAGCTCAACAAACTCCAGCATGGTATCAGATATGAAGAAAAGAACAAACTAAATAACATATCCCATGCAGAAAGGTGTACAACGCCATTTGTGGCTTCTATCATTTTTTTTTAAATTTCACCTCTAATTGCACCCCCTCAGACGGCTCGACAAACTCCAGCATGGTTTCAGGCATGAAGAAAAGAGCAAACTACATAACATATCCCAAGCAGAAAGGTGTACAAAGCTATTTGTGACTTCTATGCTTTTTTTAAATTTCACCCTTAATTGCACCCCCTCAGGTGGTTTGACAAGCATTGTAAGAGGGATGAAGAAAAGAGCAAACTACATAACATATTCCAAGCAGAAAGGTGTACAAAGTAATTAGTGGCTTCTACGATTTTTTTAAAATTTATTTATCCCCCCATTTTTATTCAGATTTTTTCTTCAGAATCAATAAATAATAATAAATATTAAATAAATAAGCTTTATTCAAACCATAGTGAATGTATACAATCATAACAAGAAAATTATAAATTGAATAAAGCTAAAAGCCGATAAGCATAAAGATACTTGTTTCGGCAAAGAAAACAACAAAAATATAGGTATATAATTTCACAGATTGTGAACAAACATAAATTAATGTAAAACTTATGTACTAACTGAATGAATGATTCTTTGATCGATTTGTAATACCTATCTAATAATAACAATATCATTCTAATAATAAAAATAACAATAACAACAATAAAAATAGATAATTTTAATTATAGTTATAGTAAAATATTATCTTAGTAATATAAACATATTCAAAAAACATAAAACTTACACAAATGTATCAGAATATACCTACAATTGGCACTGTGGAAGGATGTTAAATGTATTACTCAAAAAGACTTTGGAAAGTAATTCGCGGATTCTGAATAATAACATTTTTATTTATTTTTGACAAAAAAGTTGCTTAAAATAGATTTAATTTCTACAGGAATTATATAATTTGTTTTCTGGCGAGTATTATAATTATATTTCAGAACCACTTCCTTATAGACCACCATGTAGTTACGCCTCTGAGCGGAACCGACCACTAGATAAAACCAATGCAATACAAAAAACCTCTCTTATCGCTAATACCTGAATATATTAATCATTATAGTTTCTAGTGCGAACTCGACCACATTAAAATAATAAAAATGACCGGTAAACGCCGAAATTTGACTGAAAATTTGTGTGAAATTAAAAATAAAATTAGAAAATTTGAAAAGTGGATGGAAGGATTGTATGAATCAAGTAAGTAGTTTTAAATAATATATTAAATTGTGTTGTAGGCTATTATCACCGCCAGCTATTGTGATGTGAATACAAAGTTTTTTTTCCAATTTATGTCCTTTGTTGACTAAATTGTGATATTAATCGATCAATATTTTTTGGCGATTAAATTTTACCTCATTATAAACAAATCTCTTAGTTAGTTTGTGTATATTGGGTTTCCGACACACTTCAAGGATAATTTTGATTCCAGGTAAATCTGATGATGCCGATTCCAATAATTTTAATCCGGAATTAACCAGAAATCAAAAACAATCCGTTCGTCGCTTGTCTTAGTTCTAGTGTCGAAGAATATACACAAAATCCAGTTATTGTTACCGCTGATGTTCATCAGTCAAAAAAGGCGGAGGGAATATCGCAATTGTTAGGGGAAGAACCGTCGCTTAATACAGTTTTTGGAGATACGATAAGTAATGATATTGTATCTAGATGGTCAGCTTATTTGAGTAAAGGGTTGGAGAAGGAATTAAGAGAAACTCTTGCAGAAAAATGGCGTATTCCTGAAAACTGCCCTCTTCTTTGTGCCCCCAAAGTAAATAATGACATTTTAGGATTATATTCTTCGACAGATTTGCGTAAAGATAATTTTCTATCTGCAGTGCAAGATAAAATGGGGAAAGGGTTAAGCGCCTTAGGTTTTGCGCTAGACGTTATATTAAAACATCAGAATTCAGAAAATATTAATCTAGAAAATGATATTTTGCCCGCAATTGTTGACTTCGCGAAATTATTTGCGAATCTCATTTTCTAGTTTCTCGTCATAGAAGATATGAAATTTTGCCAGCTATGAACGAAACTGTAAGGAAAATTGCTGAGGAATCGGTGCCGGATAGTTTTTTGTTTGGTTTAGACTTAAATCAGCTCAGACAGCACAACATGCTCTAAAGGACTACAAGGCAAAGACTCCCTCGAGGATTAAGAATTCAAAATTTAATTCGTCGAATTTTTTTAAACTCGAAGCTCCCTTATCAAAAACACAAAATCAGAGAGAGCACAGAGTACAGGTACAAGCGAAAGCAGCCGGAATACAGGTACAATCCCGGGACACGGAGGACACAGTACCGGAGGATACAGAACAAACGAATATAACTCAGGTATTTAGTGTTTATGCTGGAAGAATTAGCTTGTTTTATTCTAACTGGCAAAAAATATGTAATGACCATATAGTCCTAGGTTGGGTTAATGGTTATACTATACCTTTAGTGAAAAAACCTAAAAAAAAAAAAAAAAAAAATTTCAAATTCTAAAGAAAATTACTCCTTTGGAAAAACTCAAATTAGAAGAAAGTATAAGAAAATTATATAGTAAACACCAATTTATTTCACCTTATTTTTTAGTTCCTAAACCTAATGGTGATTATCGTTTTGTTTTAAATTAAAAAAAAAAAAAAAAATTCAATACATAAAATCTGTAAAATCTCTCATTTTTCCAGGTTGTTACATGTGCACTCTAGATTTAAAAGATGCTTATTTTTTGATACCGATTAGGAAAAATGATAGAATGTATCTAAGATTTTTCTTTCAAGGGTCGTTTTATGAATTTACATGTATGCCTTTTGGTCTAAGTACAGCTCCATTTGTATTCACGAAATTATTGAACCCTGTATTAGGTTTTTTAAGAAACTAAGGAATTTTATTGTTGTGTTACCTAGATGATTTATTAATAATAGGAAAAACAATTGCTGAATGTTCGGAAAGCGTAAATACGGTTAAGGACGTTCTAATTAAATTGGGGTTTTCAATTAATTTTGAAAAAAGTGTACTCATACCCAGACATATATGTAAGTTCTTGGGATTTAATTTTAATAGTCAGCTAATGCGCATTCTATTACCTAGTGAGAAGCAAACATCAGCAATCCTAAAGACTCAGAGGTTATTAAGTAAAAAAAACTGTGTACAGTCAGAGAACCAGCTAAGATTTTAGGTTATTTAGTTTCTTTGTGCCCAGCAGTAAATTATGGATTTTTTGGATTTAATAATATGTTCCAGACCTCAGAAAATTAAATTTACAATTATTTCAATTTAATAAATATTCTAACAATGTTTAAAAACTTTTGTAATTAATGTGAATTGATTATCTCTAATGATTGGCCTATTATTACAAAAACAATCAGTAATAATACTTAATAACTTATTTTAAAATAGTTGATTATATAGTACAAATATAGTTTTTTTGGACCATACTATATACAACCAGTAATACTTGCAAATGTTTTTCATGTTGCCTATTTTTCTATAGAATATTTTGCATAACCATATCTGAAACAATAATTGCCACTGATAGGGAAATTTCCCTACATCGGAAAACCTGCAATTAGTAGGAACATTTTCTATAATTTAGGGAATTTTTAAACTTCTTTGATTTTGTTATATTTGTAAAAAAATATATTAAATATTCACATTAGAAAACGATTTACTCTTTGCGAAAACGCTATCTATCCTGAGTCCGATTTACTATTGGCAGCTCAGAATCTCAGACAGGTTGAATTTACTATAATCCTTACTCCCAAAATATAAGCAAAAGAGAAACTTGGTAAGTAAATCCCCAGAACTCGACTGGGTGGTATTTTACGAGGCATCACACAAAGGGAACGGTATTCTACATACTAAAAATTTGACAAAACAGCAAAAAATTGATACAGACTTTGTGGCTAAGTTAAACAACTAAATTTACAACTATTATTACCAAAAATTGGCGTCAATATATGTATTCTGCGTTAATTTTGTTATTTTTTTTTGTATTAGATTTATTTTTAACACAAATTCAAATAATAGGTCTATTTTTTTGTAATACTCGAGTTTATTTTCTGTGTATTTTCTCTTGGGTATGTTTTATTTTCAAATATCTTTTTTGTCAAATTAGAAAATTTGCAGAAAGTCTGGTGAATTTTTGAGAAATAATTTAGGGAAATAAAAATGTTGGACCTGGTAACACGATAAAAGAAATGGAGAAGAGACATTGCGTCAAATTTCAAATTTATACGAAATCAACAGATTCGCCAAATAGCATCGATACAGGAACCAACAGATTCTGCCAAAATAAAATAAAATAAAATAAAATAAAAAAGAAATAGAAGAATCTGTCATTATGGAGAGAGGTGGGATTTTCCTCGCCTCTGCAGGTCAAATAGTATAAATCAGTAAGATGTTCATAGAAGTAAACATTTCGTTATAAAACTGTTTTTGAAGTGGTAAAAATCGCATAAAAGGAGCAATAAAATTGTAATGAAAATCGCACAAATTGGGCTTTTCGCGACTAATTGGCAACATCGACACGTGCATTATCAAGTCCACAAGTCCACATTCGACTCGAGTAATATAAAATCTAATAGGTAAATACACCAAAGATAATTTATTAATAAATATTTCTAGCAGTTAGCAAATATGATATATTTTTTAAATGAATTTATTTAAACATTGGCGTATCACATGTTTTATTTATTTTGTATTAAAAATTAGTAGCTAATAAGAATTATTTATTAAAAAAATATGTTGTGAATAGAATAGGTACCGTTTTGAAATTTAAGCTGTCAAGTGTATTCGTGAAGATTATATAACTAAATCAATTAAAATATATTAAATTAATAAATTAGCTATGGACATAGAATCTGCAATAGACTCATTTCTAGAGTAGATCTGCATATTTTTCAACATATCAACCTTCAATATTTAAACTAACCAATATAATAAAAATTGTGTTAAAACTATTAAAAAATCAGCTGATTTATTTACATGTAATGAACTGTAATTTATTTTACACCGCAAATTTAATTTATTTAAGATTATTATTAATTGTCTTTATTAAACAACCAGACAAAATAAAAGTAATTACAAAGAATTGTGTTTGACATATGTATATGAATAAATAATTCATTAGTGGTTTAGGAGCAAAATCAGCCTTGTATACAAACATAAACAAACAAAAACAAAAGGGTACAAAATAAAATGAAAAAATTATGATAAAGTTGATAGTGGTGGTTTAAACATAAACCTAAATCAAAAAAATATATTTATAAGATGAGTTACCTTTAAAATTAAAATTGTTGTGTGTTAAGTATTTATTTAAAATATATAAAAGTTATATGTAAACCACATTTAGTCAATAATTTGAATTTAGTAAATATATGAATTTTGTTTTCTGAGCTTTCCTTTAGATTTTGAGAAATTGTTTAATGTTGTAATATATTTATATTTTACTCATATAATCTTTGTTAATATCCTATTTTAATTGGAAACTGATTTTTTAGTACGTTTAAACCTTTTTGGTCTTATGCTGGGCTTTTGCTGGGAACCCAATAAACAATTTTTGGTTACCCGGTCCAAGGACAACAGTCGGCAGTATAGGACCTACCCATGATGGGGTCAGACCAGAAAAGTAATTGCGTCCAGCCACTACATGCCTACAGAAATTGTTTGTTGGGTTTGAATAACCAAAAGAATAATTAAATAAATAATATAATTGTTAACTAATACTTTAATATTTATACAATTCAGAAAAACTAAAAAATGTCTGACCATATGTTCTCCATATATCAGTAGTAACTAACTTGATATCTACAGGATAAGCATGTTGACTCGCATATCGGGGACAACACTAATCATTTATAATTGCTGTGGTGGGAGGTGGGACGTCTTGTTTGTTTTCATTTACACCGTGACTAGAGTAGTATTTTATAAACCTTAGAAGCAAATTTCACAAACATGAACAAATAATAATAATGCCGTGACCAGAAGACGAAGTAACGACTTCTCGTAGGGTGGCGGCTTCGACGCCACCATAAAATTTCAATCCATACCTGGCTACGCCGACCGGTATAAACACCAACTAAATTAAACGTGTCTATTAAAATATCTTTGAGAAACTTTTTGTTACAGGGTACTTTAAAGTTTCTTGTTTTCAGTTAATTTGCATGAGCTCTGACGAGATTATTCTTGTTTTCTAGAAAAACATTTTACATTACATTCCCTGTGCGTTCTATAATTTTTCCTCTAGTCCATTCTTCTACATTTCGAGAATTAGTTTTGACGAATACTAAATCTCCTGAACTAAAAACCTTCTGCTTCGCACCATGTCTTTTTTAAAACTGATTCTCCATCCCTTCGTTCCTTTTTTTGATTTCGTCTCGTATATTCGGTAACAGTAGGTCGTTTACGGTTTTAACATTTCGATTGAACATTAATTCTGCAGGTCATTTGCCATTTGTTGCATTTCTATTAGGTGTTTGAAGGAAAACTTGTAAGTTTTATCCTATATTTCGCCTCTCCCTTTATCTTTTTAATTGCTCTTTTAAAAGTGTCAGTAAATCTCTCCGCTAACCCATTTTATTGAGGCAATTGAGGGTGATAAACAGGAGTTGTGATATATTCGACACCATTTTTTTGGCAAAACGTTTTAAAACAAGTTGCTAGTAAACTGTGTACCATTATTGAGTTTAATTGAAAAACATTAGATCATTTTGAATAAGCATTAATCAAAATTAGATAACTAATACCTTTTACGGGTCCGACAATATCAAGATGAATACAATCCATGATTCATTAGGAATAGGCCATGATGAAAGTTGGGTCTTCACTGGTGAGTTTGAAGCTTGGAGGCAGCTGTTACAAAATCTTCAATAAGCTTATCTATTTTGGGCCAGTATGAATAACTTTGTGCAGTGGATTTCATTCTTTCTTCACCTGGATGACCTTTATGAAATTGTTTCAAAATTATTTTTATAAATTTATTTGGAATAACAATAAAGAATAGATAAAGAATCTTTTCTGTTAAATATCTTCATTATCAATATTGGTCGGCCAATTATTAGTAACGTAATAAACAATTTTCTGTAAAATGCTATCTTTCTTAGTTTCATTGGTTATTCTTTTGGCTGTAATAGAGAGATTTTCTTCAATATCTCTTAATATTTGTTCAATGGAATCCTCCATATGCATAGCAGCAAATTCCTCATCTGGTATAGTTTTGGCGTCTATGAGTTTCGATAAAAAGCCTGCACATCCAAACGAATTTGTTGATACGAAACATATTTCAAAATCATAAGACAACATTGTAAATGCCCATCTCTGTAACCTGTTTGCGGTATATAATGGTATTCCTTTTTTTTAAACCAAAAATGGACAATAAAGGTTTGTGGTCGGTCTGCAAAATATATTTTCTGAAACTTTGTAACTGCAAAAATTAAAGCAAGTGCTTCCTTCTTTATTTGGTTACATTTTTGTTCTGCTGATGTTAAAGATCGAGACGCATGGAAAATTGTCTTCACTCTCCCATCAGAAAATGTATGTAAAATACATGCACCTGTACCATAGAAACACGCATCTGCAACTACGGCAATTGGTAAGTTACGGTCATAGTGAGTATATAAGCAACAAATCAGAAGTTAATGCTGTTTTAAACTTTTCAAAACAATTCTGACATTCTTGCGTCCATTGCCATTTTGAATCCTTTTTGGGCAAATTATCCAACGGACCTCTAAAGCTTCTTAAAGAGGAAACATCTTTGGGTGGATACATTTGTATAACTGCTTGAATTCTAGATGAATCTGGCCTAATTCCATGTTTATTTACCCTAGGTATTTGACTTCTGTCATTAAAAACTTGCATATTTCTAATTAAATAACGGATTTTTATAATTCCAATTTATTTCTAGCAGTTCACACACAAACGCCAGCTACAGTTCAACATTGGTATAGGGCATCTTTATCGTTATTCGACTGGTACACAAGCATGTAGTCCATGTGGTATAAACCAAATATGCTAACAATTATAATGTTCAATGTTTTGAGATTTCGTCGCAGTCCTTAGCGCCAATAATATTGCCATCTGCAACATAAAAGCTAAAAGATAGGTATTTAATCTCATGATAAAGTAAGTTAACTATAATAAATAATTGGTATAATTAAACGATACATAAAAATTATTCTCTAACTTTATTGTCATTCAATGATTCTTAAAATATTTTAAGTAAAATATGATAACTGAAATAAATAGTTCCGATACGCCTTTGTATTTTTATCGCCACTATCTATCATTGATTTATTTCATAACAAATATTCATTATTTTAGTACTCTATTCTAAAAATCAAACAAGATGAGTTTAGTCCTAGGTGTTATTTGTGCCACATTTCTATGTTATATTGGATATTATTGGTATAAACATGTTCAGATTGGACAAAAATTGTCGTGGTTGCCCACGGTTCGTGGTTGGCCCATTGTTGGAAATGGACTGGAATTTACAAATACTGAGAGTAAGTAGTATGAATTTTATAGAATAACATTTATTATGCGTGTTCTCGAATTAATACGAGGGTTGCCTTTTATATTTAGGGATTAGAGAACAAAAACAAATATTACTCATTAAAAATCGCTTTATTGTTTCTCAAAATATTCTTTATGAATATGTATACACCTCTGCATGCGTTTGAACCAATTGTCGAAGCACATTTGCCACTCTGATTGAGGTATATTTAAAACATCCATTCTAAAAGTATCAAACGCTTCTTCAGGTGTCGAAAAACGTTTATTTGTTACGTACGAAAAAAAAAAAGAAGTAATTCGGTGCCAAGTCAGGACTATACAGCGGATGACTCACATCAACGTTTTGAGTGCTCAAAAATGTAGTTTTTTGAGCCGATGAGTAAAAGCTCGCATTGTCGTGGCGAAGAGTGATCCGTCTTCGGCGGTTTGATTTCCTCATTTCTTGGAAGACAACTGGCAAACAAATGGTTGTGTACCACTTAGAATTGACTGTTCTGCGTTGTTCTAATGGTACTGTTGTGCCAGTTTTTCCGAAAAAACAGGTTTATTTACTTGGAAGTGCTTCGTGCACGAGCAACTTTTGTTGGATTTGGCTCATCTTGAAACACCCATACAGTGGATTGCTGTTTACTTTCGGACTAATACGCGTAAATCCACGATTATTCACCTGTCACTATGTCATAGACGTGTTTTGAAGCACCGCGATTGTATTTTTTGAGCATCTGTTTCGACCAATCGACACGAGCCTTTTTTGAACGATTGACAAATTGTGTGGGATCCAACGCGAACAAATGTTTTTGACAGTCAAATGTTCATGCAATATTGAATGTATGCTGGTCTCACTAATGCCTAAGGTTGTCTTAATCTCACAATAGGTCGCATAACGATCTTTCAATATCAGTTCGCGCACAGCATCGATGGTTTCCGGAACAACAACTGATTTTGGACGACCTTCACGAAATTCGTCTTGGAACAAACTACGACCTCGACTGGAATTCCCCATACCATCGATAAACACTGGTCCTTGATGGAGCTTCATCGCCAAAAATTGAAGTTCATCGATGCACTGTTGCTGAATTAATCCACGTCGAAAGTTGTAAAAAATAATCATACGAAAATGTTCACAATTTTATTCCATTTTTTGGCCAAGATGAATCTTTTAAGTTACTGTAAACAACACAAATAACGCTCGTATGTCAAAACATTCCGAGTACGCATGACCTCCAAAAAGTCAAACTTTACAACAGAGCTGTCAGTTTCCAGTTTGCAACACTAGGGTTGTCCAATCCCGAAATATAAAAGGCAACCCTCGTAGATTAAGGGCAAGTCCTTTTACCTCTGAGTAAAGTTGAAAGTAAGTGCTGATTAAATTATAGGGATATTGTTTTTTAATCTATCAAGTAAACCTACATGTAACTTTACTCAGAGGTAAAAAGATCAGCCCTAAATGTAAATTGATAGGATGCAGCCATTTTTTAAATCTTAACCCATTAAACCATTTTAATACCTTTTAAGTAGGAAAGACCAGGCTAAGGACTGCATTCAGTTATTTTCTTATATAGTCAGTTATAACATTTTGTTTGTCAGTTTTTCCTTAAATTATTTATAGGACGTTTTAGGAAATTTACTCGGTTCAGAAATATTAAGAATCCTATTGTTTGTTTACTAAGGGTTGCTATCGCTTCTCCCATAATGATTGCATGTATCATTCATTATGTATCCTCGATTTCTCTATGTTTCAAAGTTCTGATGATAGAATCGACGGAGGTATTGTCAAATGCCCCCTCGATGTCCAAGAAAGTTCCTAACATTGCCTCCTTATTTTCCAGTGTGTTCCCCACCCTTTTTACTAATTGACGAAGAGTTGTTTTTGTTTATTTTTCTGCGCTATAGACGCATTGGTCCTGATTTGTTAGTCTTTAAACCGATACTTCGTCTCTAATATATCTCCCTAGCAGTTTCTCTAATGAAAATAAACTTATTGGTATAAGGGTATGCAAACTGCAAAATAAATTGATTACCCATTTTAGATTGTCATAATACTCTTAATAGCATTATTTGACGAATCCTGTCAATTCCTAATGATTTGTATGGTTTAAATAAGTTGATTGTCTATTTTAGTCTGTCATAATTCACCAGTCTACCAATCTTCCCTATTGGCTTCTTTACGAGCTTCCTATCTAATTGGAATCCAGACTGCCAGTGTGTATTCTATTGTTTATTACCTAGGGAAATAAACCGTAAATAGTTCTCCTATCGTTTAATTCTCTGTACTTGTTTACTCTCTTAATTGTGTTTTGTTTGTCTTTTGAAATAATGATTTTGAGTCTGGCACCTTCTTGAATACTTTCTATCTCATCACAATGCCTCCTCTAGAAATCTTTCTTGTCTTTCCGTAAGGCTTTCTACTGGTCCAACTTAAAACAGCAGAGATTTGAGGAAAAATGAGGAACCTCAAGGCAGAGAACGACCTTTGGGCGCTAACAGAGGAAGAATGGCCGGAAGAGACATACAAAAAGACTAAATTGACGACTAAAAGGTCATCTCTCTGACACGGGTGGAAAATGAAAAAAAAAAAAAAATGGGGACTGCTAATTACTCTAGACGTAAGAAATGCCTTTAACAGTGCTTCATGGGACAAAATCAAACAATCTCTGGCGAGACTACACATCGGCTATAAAGGGGTCATAAATATCACAACGGGCGTCCCTCAAGGATCGGTCCGGTCCTTGGACCAACCCTGTGGAACATAGTGTATGACAGGGTACTAAAGTGCAGGTTCCCGGAAGGAGTTAATGCAGTAGCTTTTGCCGATGATTTAGCTCTCACGGTATGTGCAAACACAAAATACAACCTGATCCATAAAGCAGAAGTAGCCCTTGATATGGTAAAGGTATGGATGGAAAAACATAGGCTAACCGTAGCAAAATATAAGACCGAGATGATAGTTCTAAAAGGCACCACGAAAGGAGCGAAACTCATAGTACGCATGACAGACACAGAAATAAGACCTGCAAAACACGTTAAATACCTGGGAATAACTTTAATCGAGAAAGGAAAGTATGGAGAACACCTGAAAAAAATCAACAGGAAAACAGAATAGAGAATTTCAAGCCTGTCTCGCATTATGCCAAATCTAGTAGGCCCCAGCAGCATAAGAAGAAAGATTTTTCACGATGTGGCCCAATCCACCATACTGTATGGTGCACAGATATGGCATCAGATGCTGCATATAAATTCTACAAGATCTTGCTATCTAGAGTAGAGAGAAAATGCCTATTGCAAACCTGTAGCGCCTACAGAACTGCATCAACAGTCACCATAAACGTCGTGGCCGGGGTTATTCCTATACACCTAATGGTAAGGGAAGGATTCCGTTTACACCTTAGGAGAGAAACTAACAACAGAGCCAAAAAGAAAGAAAGGCAACGCACCCTCGAGATGTGGCAGAATGAATGGGAGCAGACAGAAGGGATCGCGCACTGGACGGAGGCACTAATACCAGACCTGCAGAAGTGGTTAAACTGCAAGCACTGGTGCACAGACTTCTACCTCACTCAGGTACTCACAGGTGTTTAAAAAATACCTGCACAGGTTTAAAAAAGCAGAGACAGATGACTGCGTATACAGCGGAGCCTCAGACACAGTGCCACACACTTTGTTTGAATGCCCTAGATGGTCGCTACAAAGACAACGGACGCACATCCAGCTAGGGGTAATACTAGGAGCAGACAATTTCCTGGAAGAACGAGGAGTAAGTGGCAGATAGTACACCAGTACATAAAAACGATACTGAAGACAAAAGCAGAGGAAGGTGGGCAGTAATTAAATACAAAGACCAGAGCTGCCCAGAAGATATGCCACCATGGCGGTACCTGTTCAGCTCTTTCGGAGGAGGTGGTTCTTTAGATGGTTAAAGTCCAACTCGCGCAGAACGTGTCCATGACGGATTTTCCCACCTCCGGAAAAAAAAAACTGGTCCGTATGGTGCTATATTCTTTCCATCGCCCTGTTTCTTTAGTCTGGTTGAATTTGTTCCTTACTTGCTGCCTTAGTTTCGCAAGGTATTTATTCCAGCATGAAACATTTCTGACGGAGTTTCTTGCTATTAAAAGCATTGGTGAATGGGTCATTAAAGTCTTCCACATCCATTTCAAGTTCTATTATTGTTCTTTTCGTCACTCTCGTCATTGGAATATTATACACCAGTGTCTGTTTTTGTGGATATTCTGATAAATTTCATTGGTAATATTTCCAGCTTACTCATTATTTCGATCAATTCGTCCTAATATACTAGAAAACTCAAACTGTACCACAAATTCTGACACTTCTTTTCTGGGATATTAACCTACTTGATACTACACCTACTGTACACCATTTTGTCCCTCCATGGAAAGTTAAAACAACAATCTTGCTTTGACCAATTTTAGCAATAATGAGACAGTGAACTCTCAAAGCAGGTCTTTAAATTAATAAAATTATATAAACTGATGCCTCAAAAGGTGAGTGGTGTTTTCTACATTCTCATTAAACAATTTATCAAGTACCTTCTGTATAGAAGAGTTGTTTGTTATTCTTCAACTTCTAAAATCCTTAACGTCAGATCACAAACGCATTGAAATTTGTACAGACTCGTTTGCATGTATACAGTCTATTGATTATCTGTATACCTAGCATCTCATACCTAAATGGGTGCATCATACTTTCAATTCACTTCTGAAGATATATCTGTAGCCCTTATTTGGGTTCACTCTCATATTGGTATCCAAGGAAACGAGAGAGTTGATCGCCTGGCAAAAGAAGCATCCAGACCTGGTTTCAGTGATCTCAATACATATTTTAAGACGTGGGAAATTCGTTTAAAATTCAATTATTAATTAATAATGGTCAAGAATACAAAATAAAGCATAATATATTTTCGTTTTATCGAAAATACATTTTTTGAAGCTCGCGTCTTCGCCTCGGTTTGGTAAATTGTTTTCTAGCTCTAAAAAATAATATTTTGTCACTCGTGAAACAATATACTCTTTTACTTCTTTGGCCCTGTCGACTCAAATTCTTGTAATTAATACGACGGTATTATTTAATATAACAAAACACGTTTTTTTTATTTCCAGCACTTTTGGCAGACATCACACGGCTGATACCGAAAAAGGAAAAAATGGTATATTTGACTCATTTAGGAATATCAAATATTTTTACTACAGACTACGATTTGATTGAATTAGTGTTAAGCAGTCAAAGTATTTTAAAAAAATCTTCAGATTACAGATACGCTAAAAACTGGCTTGGAACTGGTTTACTTACTAGCGATGGTGAGTTTTCTTTTTTAAATACTTTATAAAAACGTATAGTAATCCATATCATATAACATGAAAAATTAAGTTTTAACCTTATCCTTTGAACGGCACTCTCGGGTCTTACAGGCCCGGATCTGTTTGTACTGGACCTAGTGCCACTTGCATAATAATATTGTTCATAATAGTGTAGTTCTCGTCACGTATGACAACACAGCGTAAGAAAAATGCGCAAATGCGATACAAGAGTAGGTAAATGGGTCTCTATAGTGTTCCTCTGGGCACAGTATTGGACCCATTATTATTCCTTCTATATATAAATAGTTTAATAAAGCTAATACCACAGATAAGATTATGAGTTTCGTAGACGATACTGCCATTATTCACGAGCATTCCAGTTAGAGTGATTTAAAAAGTCAAACAGAAAATATAATTATGGTTCCAACACAATTTTCCTCAAAACAATCTACCCCATTTCAATAAATTAGAAATACGAGTAAATTAGTTTACTAAAATTAAAACTGCTACATCAGTTAAATATCTTCATATTAAATCGGTCACAAAAAAATTAAGGAACATATTAGGGAAATTTAGATACCTTAAAAAAATTTAATTGAAACTGACCATGAGTTAATACAATTTCAGTCAAGTAATTGAAATATAGAATGGAGTGGAGTAAGTAAGTAACTTTTACCTAAAAATTTTGGATATTATTCAAAAATGGTTCACAAAAATAATACAAAGAAAAAGTCGTACTTACCCCAAAAATTTATTATTTAAATTAACAAGGCTGTTGGACATTTAACAATTTTTTATTTCAAAATTGTATTATTTACTAAGCAAAACAAAATGATTTGTTTTTAACAAAAATCAATATTAAGAATATACCAAGCCATTCTTCTTCGTTTTTACTACTAGTTGCCTATTTCATTAAAGTTTACAATTAGGGGTGCGGTATCAGATCTCTGCGAAACATTAAAAAGTACATTATTTCAGGTGGTAAATGGAAATCCAGAAGGCGAATTACGACACCAGCATTCCACTTTTCTATTCTTGAACAATTTGTAGAGGTATTTGAGTCCAATGGAAACATTTTTATTGAAAAATTGAAAAAGGTTGTTGATAAAGAAAGTATTGACGTATATCCTTTCATAACATTGTATGCATTAGATGTTATATGTGGTAAGTATTCAAAAACTGTTTTATGTGATTTTCACACACAAAAGTGTCAAGTTTAATTTTATTTTTGATAATTCGGTACTGCCGAGCATGTGTATGTTTTTATAGGTAATAAAACAATTAATATTGGATAATATACTGTTTTAAACCAATAATTATAATTTTATTACTATATACAGGGTGACCCATCAGTGCGTAATTGTTTAATATTTTAATTTGTGTTATAGACACGCAAATACGTATGTTAAAAATATTTCTGTATATACAGGCTGCTGCGTTTTTGCCTGACAAATAAAAATGTAATATTTTAAATTAAATACCCTGTATGGTTTGATAATACTGTATTTAACCCTAAATTTTTTTTTAAATATTACATGTTTGCCAAGCAATTAATTTTTTTTTATGAATTTTTAGAACGATGCAGACCCCAAAATAAATTATCATCATATTTTAGATAGGTTTAAAATGATTTTAAAATTAATTAAAATGTAAACCTATAAGGATAGTAAGCTAACAAATAGTAATGATAGAACCGGCATATTTTATACAGAGTGGATTGAAACATGTCTTAAATATGGCTAATTTTTTCAAATGCAAAATCTGTATATTATTTTAGCATAATATTTCTTATAAATTTACCTATTAAACGATACCAACATGTTAGCCAATAACACATATATGCAGGGTGTCCCATCAGTGAGTGATTGATCGACAGCTATTTTATTATTGGAAATAAGAAAAAATATATATTAAAGTGGTATGTACCATATTTATCAAATATTCTTAAATATACAGGGTTGTCCATAACCAAGGGGCTAACCAAACCTATACATTTTTAAATCAAAACACCTTGCAAGTAGTTATACATATTTGATTGTTTTCACATGGTCAAACAATTTTAATAGACTTCATTCATTTGCTATGTTGTATAAATCAGAGGTAAATAAGAGATTTGAAAGCTCTTTTCAGCACTCTTATAATTTTAGGAAAGCAAATTTCCCCAGATATGTACGACTTATTATCAAAAGTTGACTGTGTAGAAGTGTTTCAGGACCCCAATGACGCTTGTTCCTATTTTTACGGGAAATTATACAACATATTTGACTCGTGCGTACCAACATTTTCCATACCCTTTAAAACGAAATATCCGCCATGGTTTGATGGTAATATCAATTGAAATATTCATAAAAAGGACAAAAGTGGCGTAAATATAAATCTGATAATGATATTCTAAATTTCGACGAATTTAAAAGATTAAGGACAATCATAAAAAGTGATATCAGTGTGGCCTATAAACAATTTATTAAAAAATCTGAAGATGAAATATCATCCTATCCCGACAAATTATGGTAATTCATTTCAAATAAAACACACTCGACTCGATGCCCAGCAGAATGCGCTACAATGAAAATTATTTTCAGAATCCCCCTGAAATTATTTACAGATTTGCTGACCTTTTTTGTCTTACACTGATTCTACTGAGCTAAATTCCGAGGTTAATCTATTAAATGTATCAAATTTAAACATAAATTCCTTTATCGAAGATGAAGTTAAAAATACGTTAAAATCAATGAAATCTAAAATGACTATGGGGCCAGATAATATTCCATCCTCTGTTTTGAAAGACTGCGCTTCAATTCTCGCTCATCCCTTAAAAGTTCTCTTAAATATTTGTCTCAAATTTTGTTCTATCCCATATATCTGGAAATGCTCTAAGGTCTGCCCGGTATTTAAAAAGGGTGATAAAATGGACATTGCACACTATCGTCCAATTTTATTTATTAGTGTTTGAGATGTTACCTTCAAAACAAGATTTATCATCAAGTCAGTAATATGATATCAACAGAACAACATGGATTCATGAAAGGCCGTTCCACCGTTACCAATCTTATAGCTGTAACACTAACTTTTCCAAAGCGTTCGATCGGCTTGATCATGGTATCATGTTAAATAAACTTTCATGTTGTGGTTTTTTTCAATCACTCTTAAATTTATTTAAGTCTTTCTTTTCCGAAAGATTAACGGTTTCAAGTCGACTCAATATCTGGCAACTTCCGGTGTTTCGCAAGGTTCTAATCTAGCTCCTTTGTTATTTAACATATTTATAAATGATATAAGCAATATTTTAGATACAGATATAAACTTTCCTCTATACGCTGATGATTTAAAGTTGTTCTGTCGTGTGGAAACGGTTAAGGACTGTCAAAGGCTTTCAGATAATCTGCGACGTATTGAGGAGTGGTGTCTCAATAACAACCTTCCTCTTAACTCCTCTAAATGTTTTTTAATATCTTATACCTTGAATCAATTCCCTTTAACTTTTAACTATAGCGTTAATAACACGATTTTTAAAAGACCGGTTACCATCACAGATCTTGGAATTACATTTGATTCCACTTTATCAATGAACAACCATATAGTGTTAGCATCGTACAAAATGTATGGATTTATCGTTTATAACAGTCGTGATTTTAAGGAACAGAAGACACTAACTTTATTTGAATAAGAATAATTTCTTGACCGTAGTAGAATTTTTTCGAATACACCTTCACAAGCTGAAGCAGAAAGATGGGGTTTCTGTTATTTAAAAATTTTTTTAACTGTAATCATCTCCATGTTTTTTAAATTTTGACTGCATCCGAAGATGGAAAACTTTTCCAAAAACACATGTAGTGCTGTGCTAAACAATAGAAAATAAAAACGACCGAATAAACCAAGGAAACTTTTATTTATACTAAAATTATTGTATTATTCATTTGTCAGATCTAAACTTGAATATGTCTCAGTTGTGTGGAGCCCATTCTATCAAATACATATTGATAGAATTAAAGCAGTCCGAAGGAGATTATTAAAACCTTTAAGTTTTAAACAAGATGGAGTTTATCCCCCTATAGGTACACCACATCATGATCTTCTACTTAGACAAGTTTTGGAGTCTTGATACAAGACGCAAATATTATTCTGCGTATATTCATGAAATGCTAGAAAAATAATTCTCTTAGCTTTTTTTTCTCACCTGCTGTTCAATCAATTAGTATATTATTTCTAAATTAATTGTATTTATGTATTCTTCTACTCTAAATGGATTATTCTGAAGTCAATTAAAAATTGACGATGTGAAATTAATCAAATATTCGTCGACAACATTCTCAAACTAATCCTCGTATGTTTCAGCGTTATATTATTAAGCCTCTTATTTATTATAGTGTTGATTTTTTATGTCTACTATTATCAGAATAGTAGGTATAATTAGATTTTTTATTATTTAAAAAATTATAAAATAATGCGTTTTTTTTGCTCTCCTGAAAAATATTGTTTTAAGTACTTACGAGGTTTGAGAATGCAGGGAGTTTTGTTTTAAAAAAGTATAAATTTAGTCAACACCTTGGTTATGGACCATGCTATATATTTAAGAATAATTGTTAAATATGGTCATAAAACTTTTATATTAAACATTGCTTCGTATTTGCAATAATAAAACTATCAATCAGTTACGCACTGATGGGACTATTCGATTCTAAAAGTGAAATAAAATACAGAGTTCTATTTAAAAAAATCTACATTTTTAATTGCCAGGCAAAAATGCAACACCTTGTATTTCCAAAAATATTTTTAAAATAGGTATTTTTTAAATACATTTAACTTTTATTTAAAACCTTTTTGCGTGTCCATAGCAAAAATTGAAATATTGAACAATTACGCGCTAATGGGACACCCTGTATATCACAGCCCCGAAAATAAATTGAAATTCATTTTAAGAGACAGGAAGTCTCTACTGAAAGCATCCTCTTAACCTGAAGATGAAGATAATTTTTTATGGTATCAGAATAAAATATAAAAATAAGCCAAAACAAATAAATACAATTAGTCGCGTCAAATTAACATGAAAAAAGTGAAAATGGACAATTTTTTGCGGAGAGGTTCGATTGAGATGCGGTTTTCTGCAAAATGTTCAGCAAACCGTCTATAACAAAAGGTATATCAAACCTCTGTACGCTCGCAAATTCTTAATTGTTTGTTTAACAAATGAGGCATTTTTGTTAGTGTTGATGAATATGTGGCAAATGTCACACACGGTTCAACGAAAATGTCTGGAAGATGTTCTCACGGGAGGTTTCGAGGTCCCTCTTTATCATTATGGTGTCAGATTTATTATTTATTGCTAAATTGTTGTAACTTGGCTAATTAACAAATGAAAAACTTAATATTTTCCAGCATTTTTGGCTTGTTAAGGCGAATCATCTGCAAAAGATTTTTGCAAACATAATAGTTTATTGTTCGCTTGTTGCCACCTCACTAATTAACAAATTAATAACTCGACTCCCGGAATCGTTACAAATATAGTTTTTTATTGTTTAATTATTGTAACCTGGCTAATTAACAAATGAATAATTCTCGACTGACAAACGAGTTTTCCGAAAAATTGCTCATACCCGTGTACAAATAGAGAGAAGTGGTTAGAGAATAGTTCGAATCTGTACAAGTAGTTTGAAATCATATTTGTATGTCCTTGGTGACTCTCAGAATATTGCGGTTTTCTCTCTGGGCGGTCGGCAAACATAAAAAAGTCTACATGTTATGTCCGGTCGTCGTGCCGACTCTCGCCATTTTTCTCGAATTTCCGACTAAAAGTTTAGATCATTCACCATATCAGGATGTGACACAACATCTGTGTTTTATGGAAAAGGAAAGACTAAACTAGCCGGAATATTAAAAAAAATCTGCAGAATTAAAAGATGCTGGAAAATGGTTTAAACAACTTGATGCTCATCTACATGACATAATAAATGGAATAAAATTTATTTTGGTTTTGTACGGTGCAAAAAATTATAACTTAGGATTGAAGATTTAGAGTATTTTGCAAAAATGTAGCATCTAAGAAGACAAAATTTCTCTTGTGCTCTACTGAAGATGCAGCTCTACAACACATCAACAAAGTTTATATCCAAATTCAATGCTGGATGGGAAACATTTTGGACCCCAGTAATTGGGGCTGGGAATTT